AAGGTGTTATGGATATGTGTTCCAAAATCTTGTAAGGTTCTTAAATATCCGTGTCTTAATATAAATGCTACCAGTCATAATCTTGGTTTAATTATAATTTTTAAAATGTTATGTCTTCAAATATTTCATTAAAAAAAACTTTGATAGGTACAGTTTTCTGACAAACTTTGAGTTCATAGCTTTAAACTGAAGTTCCAAAATTCTAATGAAGAAATTGATGGGTTTGTGAAATTGTTCACAAAGGTCAAAACAACAAAAGTTAATTGGTAAACTAATTAAAAAGAATTATGGGTTTTTACAATTTCCTTATTTTAAAACACTGCTGGTTCTCCTAATGTTTTCCAAATGTAAGAAAACTCTGTCTCTCGGGCCAGCCCGTGGCTCACTCGGGAGAGTGTGGTGCTGGTGGCGCCAAGGCCCCGGGTTCGGATCCCATATAGGGATGGCCGGTTAGCTCACTGGCCGAGCGTGGTGCTGACAACACCAAGTCAAGGGTTAAGATCCCCTTACCGGTCATCTTTTAAAAAAAAAAAAAAGAAAAGAAAACTCTCTCTCTCTCTCTCTTAAGCTATAACTAACAACAGTTTGGTAAAATGTCATTTAAAACAAAAATAAAAGTATTTGTTTTCTCCTTATTTGATCCCCCCCCAAATTTAATAACTTTAAGTATCCTTATGATTATCATGGCAATGTGGCTATTTTTATAAGTTCAATGAAAATTAACTCTCTCTTTATAACAGGATATAATTTAAAATTTTGGATGCAAGATAGCATGTCTCATTTCCAACCTCTGACCTCTCTTTATGTTGCCATAATTTGGCATAAACTGCTGCTTCATCCTGCTGTTCATCTTTCCCCCCGATGTGGGACAGACAGATCTTCACCTGGGAAACAGCATTCCCAGCAACGTGGGACAGATCACTGAAAGAAAGTGAGCCGAGATGCTCCTTTCTATCATCACCTGGGAAAGAGCCTTCCCAACACCGAGAGATTTATGCAACAAAAAGTAAGACCTTTTCAATCTAGATATTGATTATCAATGCTTTTATGAGGAATGCCTTAATCATAAAGGGGGAAATAATGTTTTCTCTACAAAAGCAGTTCTCTAAATTTTCCTGGCCTTTAAGAGGGTGTTTGTAACTTGGATGAGACATCCTGTGTTGCCTAAGAATCAGAGAAGGCTTCGTGCAGGGGCAGTCTTTTCACCTAGGTAGAGGTAGCAGTTTGAACAAATTAATGGAAGGCGGGGAAGCTGGGGATGGGCAGTGACGCAGTGAATAGTTTCGTTCTGTTAGAAGATAGAGCAGGGTGCCAAAGGAGAAAGTGAACACGAAACTAAAGGAGTTTCAACATTATCCTGGAGGCAGTATTGAAGGGTTTAACTCAGATGGCCTTGTGCAGGCTGGATAGGGGGAACAAGTCTAGGAAGAGAGGTCAGTTAGGAGATTGGGTAGCGGTCAGACACATTTGTGATCAGAGAGATCTAGGTTTAAAATACTGTTCCAGCATCCACACAGATTAGCAGCACAACTTTGGGCAAGCCCCCTAACCTCTCTAAACCTGTTTCCTCATCTGTAAAATGGAGATAATGACAGTTACATACTAAATAAGATTGCTGTGAGAATTAAATGAGATAAATATTTGCATGCTTAATTACTACTACTGCAATAAGTCAGATGTGAGATTCCCAGAGCCGTGACAATGAGAGAGAATCAGAAGGGACAATATCTTAGCAAAAGCTTAAGAACTGGAAAAAAAATTTCCTCTCCTCCCTCCAAGTTCCCATGAAGGGCAGCATCATTTCACAATGCAGGTGATACTTACTATTGTCTCCTTGAAATGAAATATCCAGAACCCATCATCTCACTGCAGTAGCCTGTAAGAAAGAGCCAATGTTCCTGAAACAAAAATTCATGTTGACCTGACAATCCTACAGCATATTTGAAATAAACCCAGATGATCAGCATTTTATGTACACAGACTTCTTTTGTTTCCTCTCTGTCAAAGGACATAATTACAACAAATTTAGTTTATTTAAAGATCTCAGTTGGCTTTATTTGTGATTCTAGAATTGGGCAACACTTCATTCCATACTTATTGTTCCAATCAGCTGAGCAAATGAAGTTGACTTTATAGACAGAAAGAGGGCTGAAGAGAGAAGAAACAAAGAACAAAAAATGGATTGGTCATTTCAAAGTTACTTTCCTTGTAAGGTGGGGACAGGGAGACATAACAATAGAAAAATAACTGATTATTTAACATCAAGTTACTTCAGGCTATCCTTTTTGTGTAAGGGTTAAAGCCTGACGGAACTTTATTACCATGCCTGTTTAAGGTTTAAACTGGCCTGTTTGGGAAATTGGTTGTTATCTCTCTCTCCTAATTTCTCGGAAGGTCATACAACAACTTAGTTTGGGCTTGTTGACGTGGAACTTTAGCAAGGATGACCCCATTCTTATTTTTAGCCTGGTCCTTTGGGGCCTAGTGCAGGAGCTTAGTCCAGAACAATGAATGGCCACCTATAATTTTTATTTAACATCTCCATCAACTTTCTTTCTCCTTTATTAATTTTCTCTTCACCCCCCAATCCTAATATCCCCCCCACACACAGGGTCTCCCTTTTATATTATTCCTTTCATCCTTCCCTCCTTGGAAACAGATCCGATACCAATCTCACTCAGTTCCCTCCTTTATTAGCCGCAAGATATTGGGATAGTTATACTCTCTGGGCCTCTGTTTCTTCTGTAAAATGGGTTTAATAAGAGTGTCTATCTTACACGGTTGTCAAAATTAACAACAAAAGAACAACAAAAGCACAGTCCCTGATCCATAGTAAGAACGCAACATGTTAGCTCCCTTCCCCGTCCTCTTTTCCATACTTTTTCCTTTAATTCCCCTATTCCTCAGCCTCGGAGCCCAGCAGGTAAAAGTCGTGAGAAAAAGTATCCTCGAGGCTAAAACAGGAAACGCTTGAGCTAGGGGCGGGGCCTGCAAGATGTCCACTGCGCACGCGCGCACGCTCGGTCGCGTTCTCGTTTCCAGCTAGGGGGAGGGGGTGAGTGGGAAAGAGGGCTTCGTTTTTTCTGGCTGCCCCCTTCCGGCTCCAAGAAGTGGCGGGACCTTGGCTGCGCCCGGAACGGGCTCGGCGCTAATGTAGGCACGCCCGGGCCCAAGGGGTAAATTCGAAAATGGCGGAGTGGGAAGAAGGAGGGGCTTCGCAGGGCAGGAGGCTGACCTCCCCGCGGGGGTGTGGGAAGGAGACTGCCGGGGCCCAGTGGCGCGGCCGGGGCCGGGAGATCGACTGACCGTGTCGGGTGTCTCTGAGGCCCTGACGTGGACACACTTCGGGTTTCCCGACTCGAGGTTCTTCCGGAGGATGGGCCGGCTGGTGGAGGCGTGTGAGGGAGACGAAGGGACTTCCGTTTCCTGCCCCTAGCCAGGGACCCGGCTGCGGAGCGGAATTGGCATTTCCAGATTGGGGCTCGGGCCGCCCCTCCTCCAAGACCCTCCTTTCCGGACCAAGCCGATCGTGGCCGGCTCTTCTGGCGCGGTGGGTACAGCTCTTGCAGGCTTTCCCCTCCTTTTCCCCCCCTTTTCCCTCTTCCCCCCTCCCCTCGAGCTGGTTGCTGCTGGGGAGGGCAGGAAGGCCTCGCCCACCCACCCGCCTGGCGGGAGTGGTACGGTCGGGGCTCCTTGCCCGGGTTCCCTGGACTGTTGGAGGAAGGCGTGGGCGGGTGGGCGGCTTCAGACCCGTGGGGCTGCCTCCGTAAGCCCCGTGACACCTAAGGTAAATCAAGTTAAAGAACTTTTTATTTTTAATATGATCGGAAGGGTCACCCCCCTCCCCCCAATCCGATGCCTGTGGCATGTATGGAGCTGGGTGGAGTGCGTCCGGGAAGGGCACGTGAAACATAGGGAATTGGGGCCAAAGAGCTTCCGGAAGAGGAAATTAACTGGTAATTCTTTCCAACCTTTGCAGCCCTATCACGTCTTCAGCCTATTCTGTAAAACAAAATGTCAATTTGATTTTCAGTTTCATTATTTTAACTCCATAATACACTTAAGTTGTTTTCTGGGTCGGAGGAGTGTTTATTGCTGAAACTAAGTAATAGCCCTCCCCACCTCCAAAAAAAAGAACGTCAATCAGCTTTGTAAAAACCTATCAGATTTTAATAATCTACTACTTTGCTTTCAAATATAATTATGTCACTAGTTCTTTCACAGCTATAACTTGATAACTAATGTCTCAGATTTACCCTTGGAAGACCGGAGGTTGCTTTAGTGTTTCTTTCTTCTCTTTTTTACCTTAATAACATTTGTTACAGCCAGTTCAAGAAAACACCGTAACAGACGGCCATCTTAGAATTATAACATTTTAGTGTTAGGAGGGATCTTAGCCCCAACCCTGTTATTTCACAAAAGCAGAAACCAAAGGCTCAGGAAGATTTCATGACTTGCTTAAGGTTACCCGACTAGTTAGATTAGAACCTAGGTTATTTGGCTCCTTGCCCACCATTCTTTTGCAAAATTTTTCCACATAGCCTCGAATCAGAATTAAGAGTATTCAATTCAAAGCACATTTCCGAATGTATACTACTTTGTGCCAGTGTCTTTGCTACTACTTTCTATGTATTTCAGTGTGTTTAATCAAAGCCGATGCTTTGAGATCCCCCGCCCCGCCTTCAATAACTGGCAAGAGTTTACGTTAAAAAGATTTATTATGCACGCGCACATATACATATGTATACTTGTATTTGCTCATAATTTCTTGAAGGATACACAAGAAAAATGTTAACAGTGGTTACTTATGGAGGAGAAGAGGTGTATTGGCACTTCACATGTGGCCTAATATATGGTTTGAATTTCCTAACATAAACAAGTATTGATTTTATAGTTAAAAACAAGTTTTACAGCTGGCTGGTTAGCTCAGTTGGTCAGAGCGCGGTGTTATAACATCAAGGTCAAGGGTTCTTATCCCCTTACCAGCCAGCCTCCAAAAACAAAATTTTTTTTTTAAAGTTCACACACATATATAAGACGTGAGTATGATAAAAAATATGTTACTAGTCTTTATATATTTTCAGCAAATGTGCTAAGCTTCTTGGTTATCGATAATGTAGCAAACTATAGCACATTCAGAATATCAAATTTGACACAGTGAAAAAAGTCTGAATTATAAAATCTTTGTGGATAAGAATCATTTAAAAAACAGGTTAAGACTGGAAAGTTCCCTGGTGATTAGGAATTCAGCTCTTTTGCTTTTTACGAATAGGTTAATTGAGACTAGAAGAAAAAGTCAGTTGCCCAGTGTTACCTATCTGATTATTAGCAGAGTTTGGACTAGGGTCTAGGTTCTAATCCAGTGCCCCTTGTACTAAACCTGTAATTTTACTGCTTTCTAGTGCATTCCATGATTCCAGCTAGGCTAACAAAGTAATGCTGACTAAAGGTTGGTTAGTCAGGCCCATTTCAATAGGTAAGAATTATTGTAATCAATCTAGCGGTTAATTAGGTTAGTGCTTGAAATATTTTAGTGACACAAATGTTCCCCTTATTTTTCATTGTAAACATTAATTTGTTTAGTAAATCTTCTGTTTATATTGTAAATGCTTAGAGACCCCAAATGTAAAATAATGAGATTTCACTGTTTTTGTTTGGTCTATTATTTAAGTCTGGTACCTAGTGAGATAGGGGGGAAGAAAGCTGGTTTATAAAATTAAGCATTTATGAGCACCTACCATGTGCCAGGCATTGTGCTATGTGATAGGGTTCCACAGATGGATATGGCAAACTGGTTGCCCTTGTTCTTTTGAGGCTGGGAGATTATCCCTGGGCTGTCAGTTCTCAAGCTTTATCTCTGGGGGGTAATCTGGTAATAGCATTATAAAATGTAATCTGTTAGCACTGTTTAAGGTCATTGTGTGAGTAGATTTGAGGAGACAAAAACAGTAGTAGTAAAATAAAAAGAAATGATTACTGAATTTAACAAATACTGTTTTCGTATTTTAGAGGTCGTGTGGTCAGTGGAAAGAGCCCTGGATTGGATGCCATGGGACCTGGGTTCTTGCCTCAACTTTGTTTCCAATTAGCTGTGGGGTTGTGGCTCTCAGTGCCTCCGTATTTCTTTTCTTTTTCACAGCCGTTTTGATATGTTTATTCTGTTGGGTTCAAAACACAGAAAGGGTATTTTGAACATGTTAAGTTATAAAAGAGATATGTTTATTATAGAAAATTTGTGAAATTTGGAATAGAGTAAGGAATTAGGATCATATTGTTTATATGCCAGTTTCTTCATCTGTAAAGTAACAGGTTGGGCTAGTTGATTCCAAAGATACAAAACCCAATATAATAGTTTTTTAAGCTGATTATCTGAGATATTATTGAGAAAAACAATGCCAAATCTGTTTGGAGTAAATATCTCAGAGGGACGAGAAATTAAGAACAAGGTAGAGATACAAACCTTAAATAAGGTATAACTTATACTTTCATTTATGGCTAGCTAGTTAGCTCACTTGGTAGATAGAGTGTGGTGCTGACAACACCAAGATCAAGGGTTCGAATACCTGTACCAACCAGGTACCAAAACACACACGCGCGCGTGCACGCACACACACACAGACTCACATGCACTCTCACACGCTTTCATTCATTTATTTCTTTCTTTTTCATTTATTTTTAAATTTCGTGTGCTAAGTAATTGATTTTTAATTTGTTGGAGGTTCAAGTGATATGTTTCATTACTGTGTTAAAAGCTGGCCTGTTCTATTTTGTAGGGTGGGTATAAAATAGGTTAAAAGAAAGAGAAATGGGACTTCTGGGTTTGAGATTCTGGGATTTTAAAACAGGAGAGAAAATTTGTGGGAGCTCAAAAGGGCTCACCCAAGATTCAAATAGCTGTTAAGTTGCAGAGGTACGATCAAAGATCAATGTGTTGGGGCTCACTCGGGAGAGTGCGGTGCTGATAACACCAAGGCCACGGGTTCGGATCCCATATAGGGATGGCCGGTTCGCTCACTGGCTGAGCGTGGTGCTGACAACACCAAGCCAAGGGTTGAGATCCCCTTACCGGTCATCTTTAAAAAAAAAAAAAAAAAAAAGTGGGTCTCTTGGCGTATATTACTATGTGATTTACCTTTCTATGGCTCCAGCTAATTTTTCAAGTCCTTTTTTTGTTTGAGACGGAGAGGCAGCTGGCCGGTACAGGGATCCAAACCCTTGACTTTGGTATTAACCCATTACCACTCTCTAACCTATGTGAGCTAACTGGCCAGCCCCTTTTAAGCCTTGAAAGGGCAAGAAACTGAACACTTTCTGCTACCTCACCGGACTACCCCTTCTGCCAGTAATCTTTATAGTAATTTCCTTTGACTTATGTCAGTCATAATCACTGGGTTTGACTTTTGATTGTCATTTACTGACCACATGACCTTTGATCAGTCAGAACCACTGGTTCCCCATATTTCAAATGAGGGCTATGATGCATACTACATATTTTAGTTATAAAAGGTAACATGGTGAAAGAAAAGAGGATGGGCTGTAGAATCACACATGCCCATAATTAAATTTTGACCTTACATTAAAGCAAATAGAAATGGAAATTTTTAGTTTCATTTCAGCATGTTTGATAGATTAGAGGCAATATTTACTGTAAACTAAAATGATGGGATGAAGAAAAAGGAAAATTAGTTTACAGATAGGGTTTGGTATGTGTAGACACATTAAATATGTTATACTGTTTTAATTTGGCTTGTAGTCACTTATTGTGTCACAATTTCTTTTTTTTTCTTCTTTTTAACCAGCTTTATTGCACAATTTCTTTTACATTGTATCATTTTCGTATTCAAATCTAGACAGGAGACAAACCTGTCAAATGAGTATAGACAGCAGAGTGGCTTTGGTTTTATCAGTACCACACTCTAACCAACTGAGCTAACCAGCCAGCCCAGCCTAAGTCTTTATATATCTGTATTTTTTTTTTTTTTTTTTTTTTTTTTAAAAATGACCGGTAAGGGGTTCTTAACCCTTGACTTGGTGTTGTCAGCACCACGCTCTCCCAAGTGAGCCACGGGCCGGCCCCTATGTTTATTTTATTTTTATTTTAGAGTTTTCTTTTCAGAAATAGCCGTGAGTGACATAACTGGAGTTTTTTAAAGATGACCGGTAAGGGGATCTTAACCCTTGACTTGGTGTTGTCAGCACCACGCTCACCCAGTGAGCGAACCGGCCATCCCTATATGGGATCCGAACCCGTGGCCTTAGTGTTATCAGCACTGCACTCTACCGAGTGAGCCACGGGCTGGCCCATATATCTGTATTTTTTACAATTGGGATTATATGGTACAATATTATTCTGTAGCCAGTTTTTTTCACTTAATACAACATTGTGAGCATATGTCCTGATCCTTTAGTATTCTTCTACAACCTGAGTTTTTAATGGTTGCCTAATGTCCCATATTACCATAGTACTGTCCTCTTTTGTTCGATATTGAGTTTTTTTGTTTTTGTCAATAACATTTTATTGAACATCCCTATGTACACATTTTTTAAAAA